TCGCTCGCCAGCGTCTGGAGGGGGGCCCGCGCGAGGGGGGCGACCCGTCGCCCTCGACAGGCTCCGTGCGCACTTCGCTCGGGAGCGGCGTTCCCGCGCGGGCGCGGCGCGTGGCTGCTTCGCCGAATCGGCTGCTGTTGTTGCTGGCGCTGTAGGGGAGGGAGAAGGGGGGAGGGATTTCGAAAAACACAAAGCTACAAACCTGGCACATTCCTCTTTGAAAAGCGATCAATTCAGAAAGGTCTTCAAGTCCCGCGCGAGAGCGGGCGGAATGGCGACGTCGCCCACGCGCCGCGCAGCCTGCGAGCGAGAGTGGCAGTGCTGTGTCGGCGCGGCGCAGGCTTCGTCTATGCCGCGCTCCTCGGACGTGTTGCCAATCCCGCCCCAAGCGCGGCCAGCATACGCTTCCCGTCACCAAAGCGTCGGCAGCGGGGCCGCTCGCGAGCGCCTTCCTTTCGCTAGGCGCTTAACGTGTTCCAATCCCAATGTCAGGTTGAGCCACAAATCGTTTTCATGTTACGGGGGGCAGTGTGGGAGTGGGCGGGGCCCTCTGGCCCGTTCGACCTGGCTAATGTGACTCCTTCTCCGACTCCTCCTCCCCATCCTCCTCCTCCTGCTCCTCCTCCTCCTCCTCCTACTCCTCCTAGACCTCCGATTCCTCCTACTACTCATCGGGCTGGTCTTCCCCGTCAAAGGCTTCCACCAAAAAAACACCTACCAGCATTGATTGCGCATCGGAATAGCCGAAGTGACTGGAACAACCCCATTGGAATACATGACTCCAATGAACTCCATGGGACTCCTTTGGCCTCCATGAATACCCATACGATTCAATTGGGTTGTGTCTCCGCTGGACTCCAAACGACTCCCTTGGATCCCGTTGACGTCTCGGAGCCCTCTTGGACTGTCTTGGGGGCCTCTTGCCAACGCTGGGTTGCCCCCTGCACGGGTTGGGACGAAACCCCAAAGGCCCAGAAGTCCTGGGTGACCCTGTCAAGAAGGCGCCCAGGACAAGGGATCGGGGGTCCCATGTAAGGAGAAATGTTCACATAATAGACACAAACATATGAATATATGTATGCATGCATACACACATATAGAGACATGTGTACAGACATATGTATATGTGTATGGACAATTAAATAGAAATCGAAGTAGAGAGAGATATGCATGTACGTATGCACGTACGCACGTACGCACGTACGTACATACTTACGTATGTGCGTGTGTGTGTGTACATGTAGGTTTGTGTGTATGTGTATGTAGGTGTGGATGGTGTATGCGTGTGTGTGTATGTGTATGTATGTATGAATGCATGCATGTATGCAAGTATGTGTGATCGTGTGTTCTATGCATGTGAGTAAGAATGTATATATGTACGCATGCATGTATGTATGCATGCATGTATGTATGTATGTATGGATGCATGTATGTATGTATGTGTATGTGTATGTATTTATGTATGTATGTATGTATGTATGGACATATGGATGTATACATGTAAATATGTGTATGTGAATGACTGTGAGTGTGTATGTATGTGTGTAAGAGTGTGTGAATGTGTGTGTGGATGTGTGTATGTATTTGTGTATGCATGTGTGTCTGGATGTATGTATGGATGTGTGCCTGTCTGTGTGTATGTGTGTATGTCTGTATGCATGTACGTATGTATGCATGTGTGTATGTATGTCTGTATGTTTGTATGTATGTATGTATGTATGTATGTGTGCACGTATGTATGTATGTATGTATGTATGTATGTATGTATGTTTGTATGTATGTATGTATGTATGTATGTATGTATGTATGTATGTATGTATGTGTATATATATGTATGCATGCATGCCTGTATGCATCTGTGTATGCATGCATGCATTCATACAGATACTGTTCACGCACACAATGACGAGGAGGGCACACAAGAAACTGAAAAAAACGTGTGGGGCAAACAGCCAAACATCGGAGGGCCGCAGGAGCACCCAGCGGGAGCCCGAGACCCGCGGCAGCCTCCACCCTGGAGCCGCCCGCCCCACGTCAACGGCGAACGCTGGCCTCCGCCACCGCGCAGGTCACCCGGTCTTGGGGCGATCTGCGCCATCCGACAGGGGACATCGCTCCCCGAGACCAGCCCCTGACCAGCACGAGCCCCAGAGCACGAAACACCACATCGGAGCCACGGGAGAATCTGGATCCACACGTCCACCACGTGATCAAGGCTGGCCCGCGGACCTCCAAAGATGTGTCTGGAAAGCACAAGTTCGCGTAGACAGAAATTGTCGGAGGTCCGCGCGGAGCTCCGAAAGTTAATGTTCCTGCCGCTAGCTTCTCCGACGATTTGCATTACTAGCACAAGGCAACACGGAAGAGCTTCCCTGTCCTCGGCCTCTGGGGACCCTCAGCGAATCCCAGATACCGTCAGAGACGACTTGGGATAGAGCCGGCCCCAGGGAAAGCGTTGGGATGTCTGAGGGCACCGAAGTGAAGAAATCGGGACATCGGACTTATGGGCCTGGTTCTTAACCGCCCGCGCCGGCGTCACCGCCGCGTCGACGCGTCGTGAGCTGGCCGTACAGCCTGGCACCGGAATGGGAAAACATTACATATGGGACTGGAGGCTCGACTGGCAAACTTCCTGATTGCATTTATGTTGGTATAATTGTTTGTGTTGGTGGTTGACGTGTTCAGTTGATTATTTTGACTGGCGGACTCCTTGCGGAACGGGTGAGCCCAGCCCGTCCTCTTGTCCAGACTCAAGGTCCGCTGAGATTTCGAATGAGATCAAGACTCCCGACCTACATCTAGCAGTCGTTATGCCCAGGGGTCGCTTGGCTGGGGTAGTCAGTTCCGCGTTTAGGCGCTGTCTGAGTGCTGCATCTCCACAGGCTGGAAGTCAAAGCAACGATCCCACAAGAGCCAGTCCACCCGGAGAGGAGCGGAGAGAGGGGAGGGCGAGAAGGGAGGGAGGAGGGAAGGGGGTGGGAAAGGAAAGCGGGGAGAGGAAGGAGGCAGGGGGGAAGCAAGAGAGAGGAGTAAGGAAGGAGATCGACACAGACACCCGTTGCCTGAAGACCACTGCAAAAGGACGGCTGGGCACATGATACGCCCGTGTGCTGCCAGCTGCCGAATATGACGACAGGCTCCGCTACACACACGGACCATCTTACAGCTACACAGGGCCCCAGCTGGAGCACTTCGTGACAGAATCCTGTTACGCAGAGAGGTTGCAAAGGCAGCAAGGCCCTGGTTCCAGAAGCAGCACGCGTTACAGATCGAGAAATCTGCAAGTTCGCAAGCCGCGAGCCTAGCTTGTTCTGCTGTCTTTGACCCTTCCCACGCGGCGCTTACCTGATCGTACGACACCAGCACTGCGCCTAGTACTGGCCAGGCCCTGGGCCAAGGGCCCGTGCACGCGCCATCCTGGCTAGGCCAGCGAAGGCACATACGCCTTTCCCTGGCCCGGGATTGGCCTGGCCAGGATCGGTGTTGGCGTGTGGTCGGGGTCCCCCGATGCCCTCAGACCGCGCACCGCTGGGCCGCGGTCCCGACTCTTGTTGCCCTGCTCCTACCTCGCACGGGCGTGTCCCAAGCCTTCGCAACCCCCTTCCTCCGATTGCCGCGGCAGGGTGGTCTCGAACGCTGCTGGCCTTACCCTCGCGGCGACTGGCAGACAGCAAGAAGAAGAGGAGCGTCCAGGGTGAGCGGTAGCAGCAGCAGGAGCAGGCAGGAGGAGAAGCAAGAGAAGAAGGAGGAGCGGCGCGGCTGCTGCGAGACTACTACCACACATAGCCTGCCTCGATTGCTGAGCAACCACATGTGAACCCCACTCCTGCAGGTCAGACCTCTGAGAACACGAAGCGAGAATTCGAGGGACGCCTGCGGCCAAGTGATCTCCAGCGCAGATGTCCGATTGGACCCTTACGGGTAGGGTTCGCAAGTGGTCGCAAATCGGGTCAGACGAAAGAGGGAGGGGGGGGAGGGGGGGGGAGGGGGGGGCAAATAGGGAGTTCTGGCGGTCGGAAAGGGGTGTGGCATAGAGGGGTATGGTGCCAATCGTGGAAATGGCCATGCTAGCTGCGGTAAATAACATCACCAGCGTTGTTTTCCCCCCCCCTCCCTCCTCCACCACACCGAAGCTGTACACCACGGGCTGCTATGCTAAGAGGCGTTCGCGGGATGAGACAAACAACATGCGCTATCAAACGCCGCTGTTTTAGAAGCCAGTCGTGCTACAGAGCGCAGCTGCTAAATAACATCACCAGAGTCCCCTTCGCGTGAAATTAGAACCACACCGTATACCATACCCCTTTCCTACCTCCAGAGGGGGTAGCAGATCAGCTCACGCAGCTGGTCTTCCCGGCGCCTCCGGGCGCCGCAGGCGCCACGGCATGCCGATAAAATGCGCCCCCGGCGGCGGAGCCGAAACCGGCGGCACGCAGCAGATTTCGCAGCCCCCCCCCCCCCCCCCTGTCCCCCTCTGACCTTCCAGGTGCTGAAAAGTAGCCCTCCAGGAGGAGGATGAGGAGAGGAGGAGGAGGAGGAGGAGGAGGAGGAGGAGGAGTGAATGTACTCAAAAGGAGGAGGAGGAGGAGGAGGAGGAGGAGGAGGAGGAGGAGGAGGAAGAGGAGGAGGAGGAGGAGGAGGAGGAGCAGGAGGGGGGGGAGGAGGAGGAGGAAAAAAGTAACCCTCCAGACGTACAGACCCATCTGGGCTGCCGAAAACCTCGACGGGAATGAAGATGTCGAGGTCCTGGTGTAAGGTCGGGCACGTCCCCCTACAGGGTGTTTTGGCCGAAAAATGGTATTAAAAACCCAAAAATATTCAAAAATAGTCAAAGATAGAGGAAAAATCGTCCCCAGACTATTTTTGACCAGTTTGGGATATTCCTCCTGTAGGGGGACAGGCCCGACTCAATCATGGTGCTACTTTATAGCCCTCCTAAAAGGCCAGGGCCCGATCCCCCCCCCCTCGCCCGACCCGAGCAGAATCGCGACGGCGGCCCCTCAGCCAGCCCTGCGCCGGCCGTAGTCCACCTGAGCGACGACCAGAAACGAGTCTTACGCGATTTTGGTAGGTGGATCTCTCAAGCTCTCCGCCGCCTCTGGGTGTGTGCGTTGCGAGCAGGAACACAGCAAAGCCACAGGAAAGCGCGGCATTGACAGCGTAGCTCCGCACACGTGACACATGTTAACGAGCAGGAACACAGCAAAGCCCCAGGAGAGCGAAGCATTGACAGTGTAGCTCAACATTGACACGACGCCTGGCGCCGCGGCTTACGCGGGCCGCCAGCGTGGCACTCCGCACGGAGAGGAGCGCGCGGGCGCGCCACCTCACGCGAGAGGCCCACGTGCGAATGCGCGCGCAGCCGACCCCGTTTTGTAGGGCAGCAGAATCTATACGCGTCCACTGCCCCCTGGCCAAGCCCACCCTGAACCCAGCAGCGGAGTGTACGCCAGGCCCTCGTGGCCTGGACAGGAGGGCGTGTACATGGCTCCTGGGCCCAGGAAGGGCCATGCCAGCGGGCAGAGGATATCTATATATATATATATATATATAGACACACACATATGTATATATATGTTTATATACACACAAACATGTATGTATATGTATGTATGTATGTATGTATGTATGTATGTATGTATGTATGTATGTATGTATGTATGTATGTATGTATGTATGTATGTACGTGCGTATGTATGTATGTATGTATGTATGTATGTATTTATGTGTGTATGTTTGTATGTATGTGTATGTATGTATGTATGTATGTGTGTATGTATGTATGTATGTATGTATGTATGTATGTGTGTATGTATGTATGTATGTATGTATGTATGTATGTATATATATGTATGTATGTGTGTATGTATGTATGTATGTATGTTTGTATGTATGTATGTATGTATGTATGTATGTATGTGTATGCATGTATGTATGTGTGTATGTGTGTTTGTATGTCTGTATGTATGTATGTGTATGTATGGATGTATGTATGTATGCATGTATGTATGTATGTATGTGTGTATGTACGTATGTGTGTATGTATGTATGTATGTATATGTGTATGTACGTATGTATGTATGTATGCATGTATGTATGTATGTATGTATGTATGCATGCATGCATGCATGCATGTATGTATGTATGTATGTGCGTACGTATGTATGTATGTATGTATGTATGTATGTGTGTATGTATGTGTGTTTGTATGTATGTCTGTCTGTATGTATGTATGGATGGATGGATGGATGGATGGATGTATGTATGTGGATGTCCCTATACATAGTTTACATAAACATAGAAATCTCTCGATACATATATATATATATACACACAGAGAGATATATATCGTCGCCGAGTTTTCTTCCGTCGCTCACCTGGCCCGCGACCTCGCAGCTGTGCAGCATCTCGTCGAGGTAGTGCGTTAGCACCGTGATCGCGTGCGAGGCAAGCAGCGTGTCCCGGCCCAGCGAGATCCGCAGCACCTCCGAGCCGGCCGCCTCGGCCACGGCGCAGTACCCCTGCGCCTCCTCCAGAAGATGGAAGAACGGTTCTGTGGTAACTCACGGGAGCCTCCCATACAATCTTGCTGGCTCTTGCAACATCGACGCTGATCGACGCTAATTGACGCTAAACCGACGCTATTCGATGCTAGTCGACGCTAAATCGGCGCCATCTCATCGACTACCAGACGGTAATCGACGCTGTTGAGTTGTAAAGGCGGAATTGCGAGAGTGCACAAAGGGTCCCATGATTTGCCACCGAAGAGCGGCATCAGCATACGGTCGGGAACTTGTCCTCAGCGTGTCGCGGCGGCCCCTGGCGACGCGCTACGCCCTGCAAGCAGATAGCGTGTCGCTCCGCGGGATGGGAGGCTGGGGAAAAGCTCGGGGCTCTGACGCTCGGGGACTGGGACGTGGTTAGCCAGTCGCGCCGGAGCGTGGGCCAGACCCGGCGGCGCGACACGGTGAGCAGACGCTCCCAACCGCAACTTTCGGAGCTCCGCGCAGATTCTTTGGATCGGAACTGACCCCCCTCCCTGGCGCGCAAGGCGCGCCAGGGGCGGCGCCAGGCGGCGCTGCCGGAGGGGGGGGGGGGGCCAGCGCCCGTCCAAGAGATCCGCGCGGAGCTCCGAGGGCTGATGGCTGTGCCTGCCGTTTCTCTCTGCCCTCGGCTCCTCCTCGGAGTAGCCGCGGTGGTCCCCGACGACCACCACCACGCCTGCGAGGGCCTGGGAGAAACCCAAAAGGCAACGATCCCGCTGTTCCCCCGGGCCTCTCCAGGAGCGCGCTGTGGCCAGAATTTCGAGCGAACCCGGCCGTGGCGACGAGAGCGCTCCAGCCCTGAGATCCGGCGTTGATGAAAAATTGCAGCATCACGAAACTTACTCAGCCACAGTGGTATTTCGGAATGCTTGGGGCGGCGGGGCTTGGAATATAGGTGGCGCTTCTTTTGAGACACGAAATGAGCTCTCCAGAGGCATAGGGCTTTATCCAGAGGCATAGGGCGGCGGGGCGAACCGCCGCCCCGCCGCCCCAAGCATTCCAAAATACCACTGTGGCTGAGTAAGAAAAAACACGCCCAAAGCCCAAGACCCCATCTTCCTGCGGCAGTCTTCGAGCCAATAATCGACCTGTGATGGCCTCCCGAGGCCCGACTAAAAAAACTGGGCGAAGACGCCCGGTGGGAGCAAGCTGCAGCGCCTGGTCCTGACAGGGAGGACGAGCAGAGGAGGAGGAGGAGGAGGAGGAGGAGGAGGAGGAGGAGGAGGAGGAAAAGGAGGAGGAGGAGAAGGAGGTTGGTTGGTTGGTGGTGCTCCCATTGAGCCGGCATTCGGGAGCTTCGGACGCAGCTCCCTTTCAGCATGGCGCCACGGCCTGGGGGCGGCTCGGAAGCGTCCGTGCTACGACGGCCCTGGAAGCCAAGCCACCAGCGCAGGAGGGGACGAGAGGGGAGCTGTCGGAGCTCCGACGGCGGAGACGAAACCCGGAGAAAACAAGGAGCCTCAGGCCCCAACGGCCGAAGGACCCACAGGTAGGCCCCAGGAGAAACAGGCCAGGACCAAAACCCCCGCCGAAACAAACACGCCCCGACAGACTCCGACTGCCCACCCCCGGCCAGGCGCGACGCGGAAGAGGCAACTCAGGGACTCCCCGCGGGGACGGGGGGGCCGGGCAAGGGGATCCTGCCTGGGGCTCGTCCGATCCCTCCTACGCTGCCATGTCGACGCACGACGCAGGTGCGGGACGGCGACAGGAAGGGGGGGAGGAAGCCACCCCAAAGGAGAGGAGGAGAGAGGAGGGAGAGAGGACCCTGCCCGACCCGACCCACCCTCCTGGGAGCCCAGGCCGCAGGAAGGGAGGGCGGGTGTGAACTGTTCCCTGCGGCAGCCAAGAAACGATCCGCCTCCCTCTCGAGAAAGAGCGACAGCAGGGCCGCCTGCGCGTACCCAGCATCCGTCGGGCCTGCGGAAAGAACCGCTGAAGCCGCCGCCAACGCGGAGGAAGGGGCCAGGCCCCCTTGGGCCTCCCAGAAAGTGCGCCGGGGGAGCTCCGTGCGAGAGCACAGCCCGAGAATATGAAACGTGGGGCTCAGGGTCTGGATGCCGCACAGGACGCAGGATTGCCTCCGCGCCGTAGAAAAGCCGCCAGAGGAGTGGCTGAGGGCCACAAGCCGCCCTCGTAGCCTGCTCAGCGAGCGCTGGCCAAGTAGCACATCAAAAGGAAGCTCTTGCTTTAGGGCCCGCGCGAGATCCGGTCTGGGGACCGGCCCAAGACTGAGGACCGGGAGCGGCCTCGCGCTGAGGCGCACCATCTGCCTCAGCTTCACTTCACAGCGCGGAGGAGAAGGAGGAGGAGGCGGAGGAGGAGGCGGAGGAGGCGGAGGAGGCGGAGGACCTTTCCCCCTCCGAGGGCCGGGCCGCTCCGCAGCTGCCTGCAGGCCTCCCCCACCGGCACGCCGTCCGCGGCCAGCAGCAGCAGGGCGACGCGGCCACGGCCGCCGTGCAGGTCCCGGGCCTCGCGGGCCCGCAGGGCCGCCCGCAGTGCCCTCTCGGTACTCCGCGCCCGCGCCTCCGAGCGTCGCTCCACCGATCCCCGCATGCTCGCGCCGCGCCGCGAGAGCAGGCCGACATCTGGCCGCTGTCGGCCTCCGGGGGCTCTCGCCGGGCCCCGAGACCGACAGAAAAAACGTCTCGGGACGAAGAACTGGCCCTGGGGAAAGTGTCGGGACATCTGGGGGCCCGCATTGAAAAAGCCAGGGCGGCGCATGTCTGGGATCGTTTCACCGATCCCTGTCCCCACTGGCCGACTACCCACCAAGGTGGGGACGTATGCCTGCTCCTTCAGGTTCCGCGGGGCATGTCCACACCTAGGAGCGTGGGCTGGCGGGGCTGAGATACACTGGCCCGGGGGGCATAGGGGATGGGTTGGACGATGCTGAGCCTCGTCTCTGGACGACGCCAACAGTGTACCAGACCAGCTCGATGCACACTTCCGCGCGTGCGGGCGGCGTGCATCGAGCTGGTCAGGCACACGGTTGCCGCCCTCCAGCCTCTCGGCGGTGCGCGCCCGCGCCTCGACGCCCCGCAGCTCGTGGGAGCACCACGCCTGGAGGAACAAAAAACGGCAGAAACACAATCCCACCGGCCCTCTGGGCGACAGGTGGTCTAACGAGATTCCTCTTCCCTCTTCCACAACCCCTTCTCCCCCATTCGGGGAGGGGTTTACCCCTACCCCTACCCCCTTCCCTGGACCTGGACGGGGGGTTCTACGAGGGGTTGGAGCGTCCAAGATGGCCCAAGATGGCTCCAAGAGGGCCTCCGATGCTCCAAGATGGCCTCCAAGACGGCTCAAGACGGCTCCCTGGCGCGCTCCGCGCGCCAGGGACGGCGCCGGATGCGCCGCCAGGGGGGCACCGCGCTGATCTAAGATCCACGCGGATCGTTGAAAGTTTAGTAAAGGCCTCCTAGATGGGCTCAGTGTAGACAGTGTCGGAGGAACGTGCCGCATCGCCGATGCATCGCCGATGTATCAGCGATGCATCAGCGATGCATCAGCGATTCATCAGCGGTACATCGGCGATGGATCGGCGACGTCGCCGATGCATCAGCGACGTCCGCGAGGGGAAAATCGGGATCCGCATCGAGCCGTATCGCCGATGCAGCGGCGGTGCGGCGCGATCCTCCGACCCCATCAGGTGTTGCTAAAGGTGCCCCTGGCCAACGGTGCCCCTAGCTCCTCGCTCCTCGCGCCGGTCTGGAGCCCCGTGGACCCTCGGAGCACTATGAGGGGTTCTCTGGAGGCCGTGAGGGCATCCTTGGGAATTCTGGGGGCACGTTGGACCAGGGGCACTTCTAGCAACACCCGAACCTACTCCGAGCCCTTTGGCGGCGCACACAAGGGGTCAGGGGGAGGGGGGAAGGCTTCTTGGAAGGAGGCTGCTTCGCAGAGGGCGCGGCCCGTGCCTTCCAAGAAGCAGGAGTGCTTCCAAGAAGCCCTTCCCCCTTCCCTCTAGCCCTCTCTGCGAGTAAATAACATCTACTCTTAGGTCGGGCATGTCCCCTTACAAGCGGCTATAGGGCTGAAGGGCTATAGGGCTGTAGGGCTACTAGGGCTATAAGGCTATAGGGCTATAGGACTATGGGGCTATAAGGCTATAGGGCTATAGGGCTATAGGGATATAGGGCTATAGGGCTATAGGGCTATAGGGCTATAAGGCTGTAAGGCTATAGGGAGATTGAGCTATAGGGCTATTAAGCTATAGGGCTATCGGGCAATCAGGGCTAAAGGGCTATAGGGCTATTAGGGCTATAGGGATATAGGGCTATGAGGGTATAGGGCTATAGGGCTATTAGGGTTATAGGGCTATAGGGCTATAGGGCTCTTGAGATATAGGGCAATAAGGCTATACGGCTATAGGGTTATAGGGATGTAGGGCTACCGGGCACCCGGACACCTGGGCACCCGGGCACCCGGGCACCCGGGCACCCCTGGGCACCTCCGGGCACCCCTGGGCACCTCTGGGCACCCCTGGGCACCTGGGCACCCGGGCACCCGGGCACCCAGGCCGGCCACCGAAATCAGCTACGTAGGTCGCCTACACATATGAATCCGCTAGGACCCCTCTCCAGAGGCAAGCTCTAATTGGGGAAAATTCCCAAAACATATTCAAAAATTGCCACACACACACACACACACAAAAAAAAACGAAAAATCGTCCCTTGACTTTGAATCTTCCCCCTGTAGAAGGACAGGCCCAACCTGAATCTACTCCGACCCCATCTGGGAGGCCTATACTTTGCTTCTCTCCGAGCGCCTCCGGCTCCTCGGCGGGGTCTGGCAACGGGGCCTCCGCGCCAGGGCGCAGCAGAGCGTCCAGCCCGCGGCGCAGCCGCGCCGCCAGGCGGCCCTCGTCTGGCACGAGCCCGCGGGCGAGGGCGCCGGTGACCTCCAGGGTGTGCCCGCTCTCGCCGAAGCAGAGGCACACCTTCCCAGACCTCCAACGCCTCGAGAAACTCGAGGCGGAGGCTTTGCCCCGATTTCGGCCTCCTCGAGAAACTCGAGGCGGAGGCGGAGGCACACCGGCCTACCTACCAAACCACCCCAACCCAACCCGAAGGCCCGAATCTGACCCGAAGTTCGGGTTGGGGGGGGTGCGGGTTCCAGATGTGTGTTTTTGCAGGGTTCCCCGACGCCCCCCCCCCCCCCACTGGAAATGGAGGGCAGATTGAGGCCTTCGGGTTGGGTTGGGGTGGTTTGGTAGGTGGCGAACACACCTGCCCAGACCTCCGCCACCTCGAGAAACTCGAGGCGGAGGCTTTTCCCCGATGTCGGCCTCCAGGGGCCCTCGCCGGGTCCCAGGACCGTCAAGAAACGAATCCAGCCCTCCTCCTCCTCCTCCTCCTCCTCCTCCTCCTCCTCCCCCTGCTCCTCCTCCTCCCCCTGCTCCTCCTCCTCTTCTTCTTATCAGTATCCGTCTTAATACTATTATCCTTAGTATCAGTAGTATTAACATGCTTTGTCTTATGATCATTATTACTATTACTATTAGCATGATTCTTAGTATTATCAATGTTATTACGATTAATATCATTAGTACGCTTGCCATTAGTATTGGTATTATTACTAATAGTATTACTATTTGTATGATTAACAGTATTAGTACTATTATTATTAGTATTATGGCAACTATTATTATTAGTATTATTACTGGGCTATTATTAGTGTTGTTCTTATGATGCTTCTTAGTATTAATATTATTATCAGTATTGATATACATGTCATTGTTATTATGTTTATTCCTCCTCCTCCTGCTCCTCATCCTCCTCCTCCGCCTCCTCATCATCATCCTCATCCTCATCATCATCATCATCAGCATCATCATCATCATCATCATCATGATCATCATCATCATCATCATCATCATCATCATCATCATCATCATCATCATCATCATCATCATCATCATCATCATCATCATCATCTCATCTCATCATCATCATC